TATATATATATAAAACTTTTGGATTCCAGACCGGATTTAGATGTTTACAGTAAGCCGAGAAAGTGCCTAAGTGGACGGCCCATCTGAAGTCCATTAAAGGAATCACCCCTGACAAGCGTCTCCGTGGCTCCGCCGAGCCCGCTCGCTGCAGGTCAGCGCCCGCAGGACGCAGGGTGAGACCACAGCCTGTCTCCCTGGACCGAGCCCGTCGGTCAGGAAGTGGGTTATAGGCTCGTAAGGGGCCCGGGAAATTCCGGGACCCCCCAGGAGAGGGGAAACGGAGGCGGACACTTAACAAAGCAGCTTGCAGCCATCTGGTGAATGCTCCTTCCCGAAATCGAGGGCCCTTGAGAGTAAATGGTTCGTGTTCAACGGGCCAGGTACAGAAACTGGGGTACAGGAAGCCCCGGGGGCCTAGCAAGGGGCGAAACTGGGAACCCAAGGACCTCACCGCCGGGGGAACCTCTCCATGCCCAGCTCGTGGCTGGTCCTGTGGTTTAGACCCTCTGAGCGTTTCCTTCCTAAAGGCAACATCCCAGCCTCAGTTGTCTTTCAGCCCCAGGCCCAGAAAAGCAGCCAAACCGGACAAGCGGCCCCGGGGCTGCCCCAGGACCAGCGGCCTTGACTGATGACCCCTGTCCCGGCGATGACCACGCAGCAGGGGCCACGGCCCTGAGAAAGCGCAGCTGGAGAGATGAGGGATATCCTACGGAGACCCTCTCCTGACACTTCCCCTAAGGTTTCCGCCTGCAAGAGGGGGCATCGGCCCAAATACCAAGAGGTTGCAGGTTCGATGCCCGGTTGGGGCACATGCCCGGGTGGTGGGCTCGATGCCCAGTCGGGGGAGTGCAGGACACTCAGGACAAAGGACCCAGCGTGAGCTCTGCACCAGGGGAGCTCGGCCACGGTGGTGGCATCGGAGGCCGGCCGATACAGCCTTCGGTTTATGGCGCCCAGGCTCCGATAGATGTTGACTCTGCAACCAGACTAACGTCTCCCACAGGGTGAGCCCTCTGAAGGCCTTTGATCGGCTGCCTCCAGAGAGAAACACCGGAGTCGGACTTCAGGCACCTGTCCTCGAGTGGTCAGACTTGCTGGGCAGAGAGAGAGGGCAGAGTTGTGTCCGTCCGTCCCCCCCCCGGGCCCCATGCTAACGTCGATCGGGTCATTCATGGCACAGGTGGTGAGGGGCAGGGTATGCAAGACGCTGGGGCCACCGGGGCCCGGAGCAGCGTGACCCCATAGCCAGGGCACCACACAGGAAAGGCTGCCATAGGAGGGGGCGACTCTAGGGCGACGGGAGCCAGAAGCACCATCTGCCGTTGGCGAGACCCTGGAGCTCTGCAGTTGCCCACGTGCCAGCAGCTCCCAGGAAGTCCTGGAACCGGGACACAGGGACCTGAGGCAGCAGCTGGCATCACCTGGCACCCCGGCCCCCACCCCAGAACCTAGGAGTCACTCAGGCGGGGCAGGTCAATAAGGAGAGGGTTTCTCTGGGAGNGCCTGGCACCCCGGCCCCCACCCCAGAACGTAGGAGTCACTCAGGTGGGGCAGGTCAATAAGGAGAGGGTTTCTCCGGGAGGAAATGTGTCTTTTAAAATATATATGTGTGTGTGTGTGTATATATATATATATATATATATATATATGTATACATAATATATATTCATATATATTTAATTATATCTATCTATCTATCTAATCTATCAGCTANACCTGGCACCCCGGCCCCCACCCCAGAACCTAGGAGTCACTCAGGCGGGGCAGGTCAATAAGGAGAGGGTTTCTCTGGGAGGAAATGTGTCTTTTAAAATATATATGTGTGTGTGTGTGTGTGTGTATATATATATATATATATATATACATATATATATATATGTATACATAATATATATTCATATATATTTAATTATCTATCTATCTAATCTATCTATCAGCTATCATGTATCTATATCTATCTATTATCTATCATCTATCTATCTATCATCTATCTATCNGTATACATAATATATATTCATATATATTTAATTATATCTATCTATCTATCTAATCTATCAGCTATCATCTATCTATATCTATCTATCTATCTATCTATCTATCTATCTATCTATCTATCTATATCTATCATCTATCTATATCTATCATCATCTATCTATATATGTATATCTATCTATATATGCATAATATATATTCATATATATTTAATTAAATATATATATATATATATATACATAAAATANCTATATATGTATATCTATCTATATATGCATAATATATATTCATATATATTTAAGTAAATATATATATATATATATACATAAAAAATATATATATTTTTAAGTGGATTTCAGAGAGGAAAGGAGCAGGAGAGAAGACATAGAAACATCAATGATGAGAGAGCCATGGACCGGCTGCCTCCTGCACGCCCCCGACTGGGCATCGAGCGCACAACCCGGGCACGTGCCCCGACCGGGAATCGAACCTGCAACCTCTTGGTATTTGCAACGATGCTCCAGGCACCTGAGCCACACCGGCCGCGGTGCGAGTGCCTCAGGTCTCACGCGGGACGCCAACCACGGCCTTGCCTTTTTGTCTCTGCGAAAACAACCCTACCTGGATATGCCAGCTCCACGGGGGCCGCCGTCTGCGTGTAACCGNCCTCTGCGAAAACAATCCTACCCGGATATGCCAGCTCCACGGGGGCCGCCGTCTGCGTGTAACCGTGAAAAGCGTGTTCTGCTCGCTAACGTCCAGCCACCGTTAGCCTTCTCGGGATTAGACGGAAACCGTCGGGCGTGTCGCAGGCGACCCATCCAGAGGCTGACATTCTCCGGCATTGCGAATGCAGAAGGCGGGTCGGGATGGGTCACGAGCTCGCCTCTCGGTTCTGCAAAAAATAAAAATAAAATAAAAAATCCCCGTGGAAATGGAAACCTGGAACTACAAGAATCCTCGTCGGCGCAGAGGGCGTGCGTGCGGGTGGGGGGGTGACTGGAAATAAAACGGAATCTCAGCTGTTTTCTGAGAGACGGAAAGAGGAACTGCTGGTTGAAATCAAAAC